GCGGGTGTCGTGGGGTTACCGAGAGCTTGGAAACAGAGCTGGCGAGTGTCGTGGCCATGAAACGAACTTGTTCTCTCTCCTCACCATTTCATGCAAAAAGTGTTCACATGCTGATGTGTCACCCTAATTAATGTGCATGACACTCCCATTTAGACTGGCCTTATAGGGGTATTTGAGTATTTTCGCTTTTCACATTGTTTTTCGAGACGAGATCTTGGACGTCTTTTAATACGAGTCAGAGGAAGTATCATCTAGTCACGCATGACAACCATAGCTTCCTGTTCATACATGCATGCCATATGGCCATGATGTTACTCCATACGGAGTACAATGGTTCTTCAAGTGGGTTTGAGAAATACTGTTGGACATTCTCTAACGGGAGTGGATCCCCTCGACTTTGGAGGGATTATCTTACTGTTGTCCAATATACGGTGGCATCTTAGGGCACCGCAATGGTTTAAGCTAGTTACTGGTTCTAAGTCAACTTTTACAATAATACTAACTTTTAGTATACAGCTCATAGCCTGGAAGATCCCACTTGACATTCTCATATGATCTTGAAATATGTATACGAGCCTGGCTTTTGATCCAGAGCTAGTTTTTCTCTCTTTTTTATTAAAATATAAAAAATGCTAAGAGCTAGCTTATAAGTCACCCACTGCAGGTGTCCTTAGGATATGTTTGGTGAGAGGGATGAACCCGATGGTACGAGGCAAACCTAAACTTTTCACGGTGTAGAGTGTAGACCATTATTTAGTTTTGTTTTTTCTGAGTTAAAGCAAATTTTTAGGAATTTTTAATTTTAAATTATATTTTAGTATTTTAAAATGTATATTTATCCTAAAAGTATTTGAAAATTTTCAAAAAATACTTATATTTTTTGAGAGTCTAATTGACCTCCTTGAATTATCGTGAAAGTTCAGTTTACCTCGCTCGTCGCTAATGTGGCGCCATGTTAGCCAAGACTGTTTTTAAAACGATTTACGGGAGTCTGAAAATCCAATTTTCCAATTAACAAAAAGTTGAAGGAGGTTCAATGGACTTTTCCCCGTATCTATTGCTTCTGTCGCCGTTGCTTGGGCCTTGAGTCCGTCTTCTTTTCCGGGGCTGCAGCTGCACGCATACGATGCTGTTGTATATGGGCCGGACGCGTGTTTCGTCGGTCAGCTGCCGCAGCTCTGGGGTTTAGCGACCTCCGGGCCGACCACCGTCTCGCCCCGTCGTGGCATCGCGCTCCTCCGCCCGTCCAGCCTCCGAACGGCCAACGAGCGAGGCCGCGCCGCCAAGACGAGAAGCGGACGCTGACTGACGACGTCTTGCTCCGACTCCTCTCAGCTCTGACGGGCGGCCGACCGCGACCCCCGAGGCCCCGACGCACATACTCCAGTCGGCAGTCGCCACTCCGTTTCCCCACGGCGACAAGGGTGAGCTGAGGTGGGAGCCTGGGAGGGCCTCTTGTGTTGGTTCGTGTCAGATTCATTTGATTCGCTTGGGTTATCCATGCTATAAACCTTTGATTCCTTGCCTCCGTAACTGTAACGTAGGTAACACTGCTCGGTTAGATCGGTCATAATAATTAACACAAATGGTTGAGTTCATAATGCAGCCCTCAAAAATAAATATTCTTTGGCAAACATTTTACGGTATGACTTGGATGTGCAGTGTAAAGTGTAAACCAGATACTGTTGCTAACACATTTTCATTTGTTTTGACGTGCAGGAATTTGCCTTTCTCATCTAAGGTTACTGCATTGCATTTCATAGGAATGGCTATGGGGTTGATTAATACTAATCCTATAATCCACGAGAAGAAAGAGAGGCGCATTGTCCGACAGGCACCAGAGACCAAAGATCAAAATGCGGCAGAGCCCATAGACCAGCTGGAAGTATTTGATATCTTAATGATTTCGCTTATATAAATGCAGCGAAGCTTGTTTTGCCCCAATTTATTTGTGAGTTCTGTGTCCTAGCCATTTGGTTGTGGCCCTTAATGTTCGTTACATCACATTATAGATATAAAGGATCCAGAGCATCCATACTCACTGGAACAGCTCTGAAGACTCAATTGTACTCAATGATGAAAGCAATTATGCCAGGTAAGTTCTCATATGTCTAGGTGCCTTGGTTTGGATGTACAATTCAGGATCGTTACTGAAGCTCGCTTCTGAGAATCATTTTGCTTTGCATCAGGGTTAATTTCACCCCAACAGTGAAGCACTGCAGTATGGCAACTATTATTGGCCTCTGCATACGTGTGCAACTTGTACGAAGTCTCCCTCCTCGTTACAAGGTTTGTTGTCATTGTAGAGCTTGAGACAAAGTACTCATGTTATGATTTACACTAAAAGGGCGTATCCAGTGCAGAGAGCTCCCGCTCTGTGCGGGGTCTGGGGAAGGGTGTCAGTGGCAAGCCTTACCCTCGCTTGTGCAATGCGAGGAGACCGCGACTCGAACCCGGGACCTGCCGGTCACAGGCGGTAAGACTCTACTGCTTGCACCAGGCCCGCCCTTCTTATGATTTACACTATCAATATTATTTTTCTAGAGCAATCAGGGTTTGATATGTCAGCATACTGCTGTCATTAGGGATAATGTCTGTCTGTCAAATTGAATTATGAAAAGGATTATACCTTTGTTGCACATAAAACTTGGTCACTGAAATGGTTAGAAAATTAGTAGCTCATGTACATATCTGCTGTACATTTCAAGAAAATATCTGATTTTTTACTGGTGGGAATACAATCTAAGAAGACAGATCTTGAATCATTCGTTTTTCTTTTTTTATCATCAACATGTTAGGGAAATTGTTTCTTCATCTGCTGTGTGTGAGCTCTCTCTCTCTCTCTCTCTCTCTCTCTCTCTCTGTGTGTGTGTGTGTGTGAGAAAATTCAGGCAGCCATCTGAATCTTAACTTTTTGTAGGTGGACATAAGGGTTGCCCCTGGATCACATGCAACTGAAGCTGCTGGTATATGTTCTACAGAATCTGCAATAGTTTCCATATCTATTGCAATATCTCAGCCTATAATTTAATTATTTGTTGCAGTGAATAAAAAACTGAACGACAAAGAACGTGTTGCTGCTGCATTGGAAAACTCAAACCTACTTGACATGGTTGAAGAGTGCTTATCACCAACATTTGAATGTTGAGGCCTGAACATTATATCTGGGTGCCACAGTGTTGATGTTCAGAAACCACACAAGCTTATTCCCAGTGGAGTTCACTCGTCTCTTTCTGAGAGTAGGTTATATGCCCTCTCCCTTGTCTTTCTTCTATCTTAATGAAATGACACGCGGCTCTCCCGCTCGAGAAAAAAAGTTGTTAAATTTTGATGGTGCTGATCGTTTGTCAATAATTTGCAGTACTACTCTCCAGGCCTTCTAATTGCAGATGGCTATTTCAGTGTTCTGGCTAAGATTCCCAAATGTGAAATGCAGAGACCTGTGAGATTCATCCTCTACGTGATGGCGGTGCACTCCAGACGTTAGAAATTCTCTCTTTGCCAATGGACTCAAGATGATACTCATGGTGTTGGGCATTACCGGCGTTCTGTTGTTGGCAGCCTCTCGGGTTCCTACCAACAGAGCATAAGTTGTCCTCAAAACTTGTCTCTTATGTACAACCAGTTTTTATTTATCCCAACATGGTTCAAAACAGCATGTTGCTCAGATGAAAAGGTGGTATCTGATGATCTAAAAAACAAAGTTTTTCCATACTTTTTTTTGTTGCATTGAAAAGTTTTAGGCGGCCGTTGCAACGCACAGGCATAGACCTGGAACTTAAGAATAAGAGACCTTATCTGAGGTGGGTCTCAGCTTAAGGTTGTGGCTGGCCGTACATGTTACGAATGCCCTAAGACCTCTCCAGTATCTTCATCAATAAACGTTAGAAACGATGTCTTTAGCCCTCCAGGAGGCATGCCACTTCAGTTTTCGCCAACTCTGGAAGCTCTCTCCAATGAGAATGAGATAGTTCATCTCAATCTGCAAACACAGTCACACAGGCCAGTAACCAAAATGTGACCGCGGCAACCACCAAATTGCATGGGGGCTGAGAAAGCATTTCAAAGACTTTCGAAGTTGAATTTACACATGCAGATCTGAATCAATTCACGCACGCACGCACGCTATGGAAACATCAAATAACCATTGAATTTAGCAGACAACGAAACATGCCTACCTATTAATAATTAATAATTAGAGAAACAATTGGTAGTGATGCATCATTGTGTCCTGTTATTGACACATATCTGCTGTTTCATTTGAAGAATAACAAGAAAACAGATACCCTATGTAACATTGACTACTATATTTTACTAGAGTATATTTAAATGATCCAAGACATACATAAGGTCACAAATTTTTTTTTAAAACAATGGACACACTTCTCAAGTCTCGGAACTAAATATTTCAAATGTTGTTGACACTAAGTTTCAAAAGTTGAAGCATAGCTTGTCCAAAGCGACAAGCAGTAGTAGTAGACAGGTCAACAACAGATCTGGTCATATAATACAAATGGAGAAAAAACAACACAGGACAAACAGTCCAGAGTCAATAAAATGAAATCAGGTAGCAACGGCTAACTTTTCTTAGCTGGGGCAGAAGATAAAATTAAGTGATGAAGATGGGAAAGAGCTTATCATTGAAAACTTGTATGAATCCGATAACCTCAAACACAAACACTGCACCTGCAGGACACTAGTTGTCTAGTTCCAGTTATTCCTTTCGTGCAGACAGTGGAGAACATTAACCATCCCTATACATCCCTATGTAGTCCCAGATGCTCAAATCTGAAAACCATGAAAACAATCACAGTCCAATATATACAGATAAGAAACATTGATTACCATACATGTTCTATATAGACATATAGTACATAAACTTAGCACTAGCAGCCTAGCAAGGCCGTAGCTATCATCTGCACTATACATTTGTTCAGTGCAACATCTGTGAATACAAGCTTCTCTTGAAGTGCGATTTGGTCTAGGTAGTACAACCAGGTCTAGGTGGGTGTCATGCCTAGATCAGCGTCTCCGAAGAGACCTGCCACTATGGTGCCAACATCTTCAAAACCTACACCGATGCAGAGTGGGCTCCCCTTTGCGGAACCTTCTGCAGAGACGTCGCTCCTCAGCCGCACGTTGGGACCAAGGCCGCACTTCCCCAGACACTTGCAGCCAACGACCGCACCTTCAGTACCCACAGCCTTCTCGAACTCCTGCAGAAGAGCAAGCGCGCCTGACTTCTTGCATTTGCCGCCCATGCAGACCTCAATTCTGCTAGTTGTGGATGTCTCAGCTACTGCAACGCTGCTGACCCTGGTGGCTTGCACCGCGGTTGCTAGCTCTGAAGGTTGAGATGGTTCCGGTGACAAAGGTGCTGGAATTTGAGGAACTATGATGGGGAGACCTGTGCTTGGAGATGGCATTTCTGGTGCGGTGATTGTAGCGCAGCGGCTCATCCTGACAACTTGCCCCTCGCATTCGCTTTCGCTCGACTCTGATGAGCACGAGGAATCGTCTTCGTCCCTGCAGCCATTCAGTGCAGCCATTGCCATCTTCTTTGCTTCCTTCTCCATCTTCATGGCCTTCTTCGCGGCCTTCTTCTGTTCCTTCTCCATCTTCTTTGTAGCCTTCATTTGTTCCTTCTCCATCTTCTTCATGGCCTTCATTGCAGCCTTATCACACTCCATCGCGGAGACAGCTGCGATGCTTGATGCAACAACTTCGGGAACCGCTGTTGAGATCATCATGCCCTGATCAACATTCATGTTTGCCTCATCCTCACAATCGCTCTCGCTTGACTCAGAAGAGGACTCATCTTCTTCACACTTCATCATCGTGATGGCAGTCTTCTTGGCGCCCTTCTCCTGCTTCTTCAGTGCTTTCATAGCAGCCTTCTCTTCTTTGTCTACCTTCTTTATCTTGTATTCCTCATCCTTCATCTGGCTCAGCTCCTGCAGCAGCAGATCTGTGGCTTCCTGCGTTCACAGGTGCAAAGAAATGGGAACTCGACTTGAGAGCTTCAATCAACTTTCAACAAAAACCGTTGGGAACCAGCAGGAACTGAAATTAGTTGGTAATAAAACGTAGCGATGTTTACCATCTGGGTACCAAATCGACCATATTACATATGTCATCAACTCATCATCATGATTATCCTCAAAGCCGAACCGAGTTGTTCAACAGGAACCAATTAATTACTCAGATTCGTCGTCCATTTCCCAAATCGGCACAGAAACATGACTACATACAAGAGCAAAAGGCGAGGAAGAGGGGGGAGAAACAGAGGGCTCACCGAGAGGACCTTCTCCTTGGCCGCGTCCCCCGCGACGAGCCCCATGGCCCGGAGCTTGCCCAGGTCCCTCGCCACCACCTCCACCGCCTTCCTCCGCGGGGCCGCCTCGTAGTACCTGAGGTGGCCCTCCTCCGCGAACCCCGCGCCCCCGACGCAGGCCACCCTGGTCGGTCGCCTCCTCCTCCCCACCCTCGCGGCCACCGGGGACTCCGACGGCAGAACGGATCGCCGGAGCGCGGCGCTGGTGAGCTCCATGGCGACGGCGAGAACCTTCGCTACCTGCCCGGCTGCCGACGCCACACGTTTGTCCGATTTTTTTATTTTATTTTATTTATATATATAGAAAACAGCTCGTGCGTCACGGTACTCTGGGTTGGGGATTTTACCGCTATGCCCCTTGGTGGCGTACGTGGCGCGCGGTGAGTGGCCGGCGACGGCCGCTGCCTCGCTCGTGCCGTTCGAAGATCCTTGCGGTCGGGTGCTGGGGTGCGGGGAATGGACGGCCGCGATGCGTTACACGCTAGCGCAGACGTGGTCTGGCCGGCGTGGTTGACTACTTGACTTGTTCGCCGCGAGGATCGGGACCCTGATCCTGCCTACGGTAGAGGGTAGACCAAGCGGGAGAAAATTTCAGATTCAAGAGAGAGAGAGAGAGAGGCGCAAATCAAATCGGTTGATCCTGATCCTGATGATGGCGACCTGGATTGCTAGCTGCTAACTTGCGGTGCCTCCTTCCTCTATGAGTTCTGACGAGAACCAAAATGTTTTCGGTAGGCTTTTAGATGCTGCTTATCTTCTCTAGGGTTCATCAGTCTCTTAATTTATAGTTCGATTCACTGGAGGACTTTCTTGAATTCAGCATCTTCTGAAATTATTTACGGTTTTATGGTGGCGGAATTGTGATAGATTATTTACTTCTCCTCACTTGATCTGTCGCTACAAGGTCTGCCCCTCCCGAGTTGGTAGACAGATGCTCGTGTTCTTGGCACACCTGAAGGAGTGAAGGCTAAGCTTTCCTTCCCACTGGGATGAACTCAAGGCAGGCAATAAGGTAAGGAGATGCCGACATCATCTACTTCTTTGTTGTTATATTATGTAATATATATACTACATTCAGTATATGTTACACTGAATATCTGTATTCATATTAGTAGTAACTTAGACATGATTGCTACATTGCTATTTGTTGTGTAATCTTCTTTCCTTCTTAGCTGTGCTGCAGAGTTTATATATCTTTGCCTTGTAACTATTTCACCAGGAGCTGCACAACAAATACCAGCGGCTGAACTTTGTTAAGCTGCCAGTCTTGCTCACCTATCACAAATTCAGACTATCCCTTCTGCCTGGACCTTGCCACGTGCTACAACGGCGCTGCTGATTGGAGCGCGACGAGGGACGCATACGCGCCACCCTCAATTCTGATCAAGGTATCATGGCTCCCCTTCTCGACGATCACGCCATCCTTGACCACCGCGATCACATCAGCGCCCTGTATCGTGGACAGCCGGTGCGCGACGATCACTGTTGTTCTGTTCACCATCACCCTGTCCAGGGCGTCCTGCACTGTCCGTTCGGATTCTGCGTCGAGCGCGCTTGTCGCTTCGTCGAGTAGAAGGATCTTGGGGTCCTTAACGATGGCGCGGGCAATGGCGACGCGCTGCTTCTGCCCTCCTGATAGCTGAGCCCCACGCTCCCCGACCATGGTGTCATACTCCTGCATTGTTGTTCAGGTAATAGCTGATCTCTGTAAGGTGACATTTTTTTATATATATCATCTAGTTAGTTATGCAGAGTAGACAGTACGCAGGCTAGCACGTCTGAGGCATGCATTATTACCTGATGCAGTGAACTGATGAACTTGTGAGCATTTGCCAACCGTGCGGCAGCCACGATATCCGATTCTGTTGATTGCTGGTCCTTTCCGTAGGCAATGTTTGCCCGTATCGTGTCGTTGAACAGGGATGGTTCTTGACTCACCAGCCCCATCTGTTGCCTTAGCCACCTCAGCTGGAATTTCTGTATGTCCACTCCATCTAGGAGTATATGGCCTGCGTTAGGATCATAGAATCTCTGCAGAAATGCTATCGCTGTTGATTTGCCACTACCACTCTCTCCAACAAGTGCAACAGTCTAACAGGTAAGAGACATAATGCAAACAGTTAGCTATGCTCGGTATCATAAACTTGTACGCTATATGATGATAGGCTGAAATCAAGTAACACTGTAATCCTTAGAAATTAAGATGTTTAGTACCTTTCCAGATTGAATTGTCAGGCATAGGTCTTCGAAAATCTGAACATCGGGCCGTGTTGGATATCTGAATCTCACATGCCGAAATTCGATGTTGCCACTTAGTGGCTCCAGGGTTACCCCAGAATCATCACTTGGATCTATCCTTGATTTTCGGTCCATGATGGCAAATATAGAAGATACAGCCGATTTTGCTTTGGAAGAATCTGATGTCATGGTACTAGTATGTGACACCCCGATTGCTGCCATACTGAGAGCAAGAAATACCTGCATTCAGATACCCAACATAGGATAGTGTTATCCTCTGCAATTATTATATTTAACTGGCCATCATATTATTAGATCATCCTTGCCATCTTCAAGTTTATATTGCAGTGTAAATAAATATATCATTTATAAATGCTTTATAACACTGAAATCCAGCAGTAAATATTTTTTGAAAGTTTATTTGAAGTCGGAATCAGTGAATATCTCATTGTAAATTACTTATCATTCTTCATAAAGTTGTTAATGTCCATGATATCGAGTAATCAAAGATCATTGCAATGTCCAGGTATGTATTTCAGTGTCATGGTAAAAACATTACCATTTATAGATGTTCTATGCCATTAAAATTCACTTTTTTATAATGCAAACATCTAATATTTAACATGATACATACCCTGAAAACTTTGGGCAAAGTTGTTTTCTCGTTCTCTACAAGCCGTGCACCAGCATAGAAGCTGGCTGCATAGACTCCAAACAGTAAGAAGAAGGAAACCCCAAAGCCAACGCCGTTTGTTATTCCTGTCCTGATCCCTGCTCTTAATGGCCCTTCACATTTTTTCTTGTACAAATCCATCACCTTTTCTTCAGCTGAAAATGATGCCACTGTCCTTATGCTGCTCACTGCATCATTTGCTACTTGACTTGCCTCCTCATACATCAACTGAAATCATAACACAGAATCCGTGAATTGATGTGAATAATATGTTCATCTAACTGAAGAAACAGCAACATTAGTTATGGCTTCTTGTCATACCTTTGCATCTGCACTGAATCCTTGAATAAACTTCATCTGGATCCATCCGTTGAGGCCAATAAGCGGTATCAGAGCCAGTATAATAAGAGAGAGCTCCCAGTTTGATACAAAAGCAATTACCAGACCGGCAACTAAAGTTGCCGAGTTCTGCACCACCAGTTGCAATGCATCACCCACAAGCCCCCGAACTTTTGCTGCATCTGCCGATAGCCTTGCGCCTATTGCTCCACTTGAATTCTCTGGGTAATCGAACCATTCGATCTCCATATTGACCACCTTTTCAAATGTCATCAGTCTGATCCTTCTTATCAACTTGCACCCAGCCACTGAGAAAAGGTATGAGCCAAAAGGAAGTGACAAGAAGTACACTGCACCGAATACCAAGAACATAGATGACCAAAACTCAGCATCCTTCCTCAGAATACGTGGCGGCTCATAAAATTCTTTGATCACATTCGATAGAAGTATCGCAAAGATCGGGAAGATCATTCCGCTGACAGCCGAAGCAATAGAACCAAGGATAAGCACTGGGATTTCGGGTTTGTTAAGTGAGGCGAGGCGACTGAGAGGCACTTCGTGCTGAATTTCTTCATCTATATTCTTTGATGAACTGTTCTGGACGTCAATTTCTAGAGGCACGTCATGTGATACTGAGAACAAGTGGTTGCTGCTGCTGTTCTGTGGTGACCTTTGGCTTGGTGACTGATTTGTCGACATTTGTTTGCCTAAGTGAATCCTAGAATCACCCTTCCTGCTTGACTTGTTCTGGTAGTTTGCACCCTCCGAAGCATGGCTCGCTTCCTGTAGGCGTATCAGTTGACTGTAAGCTCCCTCTGGATCCCTTACAAGATCATGGTGCGAACCTGGTGAAGTGTGAAATTTTAAGGAGCCAAGCAATTGATACCAGAAAAGGCAAGCTATGATTTCAGGAAAAAAGAAATACCTTTTTCGACTACTGATCCTCGATGAATCATGGCAATGGTGTCAGCATTCCTGACAGTGCTCAAACGGTGAGCTACTATGACAGTTGTCCGGTTCGTCATGACCCTATCAAGAGCCTCCTGTACAATCCTTTCAGATTCAGTGTCTAGAGCGCTTGTTGCTTCATCTAATAGTAAGATTCTTGGATCTTTGAGAATTGCTCTGGCAATGGCTATTCTTTGCTTCTGCCCACCTGAAAGTTGTGTTCCATGTTCACCAACTGAAGTAGCAAAACCCTGGGAAATGTCAAAAACATCAAGAATTTCAAACACATATCAGGGTAGCTTGTCTCATATATTTTCTTTAGAATTCATCATCAGTGATGAAATTTGTAAATTCATAGGATAAGAAGTCTTCTGACCTGGGGCATTTTATCTATGAATTTGGAGGCATTAGCAAGCTCAGCTGCAGCTCTGATTTCCTCATCGGTTGCATTGTCCTTGCCATAAGCTATGTTCACCCCGTTCGGCTGTACTACTTTCAGCTTGTTTTAGCTTGTTTCAGCTTATTCTCTCTCACATAACACTGTTGTTTCTTGCTTTATTTGTTTGCTGACAACATCTACCAACCCTGCACGTTTGGTTTTATTCAGTTAGCGCTTAGCAGCAACAAACCAATTGCAGAACAAGCCAACCTTGCCTTTTTGTTTCAACAGGTTCATACCATCCATACCCAGCAAGGTTGGCAGGAACCGAGCACTAGTGTTGTTGAGTAACCGTAATTGTCCAACCCAATCGAATCGAATTCTCATGAAATTCACTTTTGTCTTTTGACAAACCTTTTCACTTTTGTCTTTTGCGCTGGCACAGTTTCATATCATCTACAGGAGATAATTTTCTATCTTTAGTTAGTGCTAAATGATGCAACTACTGCACTCTCAGCATGCTTTCTTGTCACCGAATTCAAAGTACTGTTGATTGCACATGAAGTTCTTCGATCAGACCAACAGAATTAGTTAACTTAGCAAGCTGACCCTCTTGCTATTGCAATCACCAGAGCTCTGGGCCAGGCATCTCCGAGCATGAAAGCATTTGCCGGAGGGCAGGCTGCGGCATACAAGATGTTCGAAACAATCAACAGGGAGCCTGAGATTGACGCATACAGCACGACAGGTAGGAAGCTGGACGACATTCAGGGAGACATTGAGTTCAGGGATGTTTACTTTTCGTATCCAACAAGGCCTGATGAACAGATCTTCAGTGGTTTCTCCCTTGCCATACAGAGTGGCACAACTGTCGCACTGGTTGGGCAGAGTGGGAGTGGCAAGTCGACGGTTATCAGGTTGATTGAGCGGTTCTACGACCCTCAGCTCGGTCAAGTTCTGATAGATGGTGTTGATCTAAGGGAGTTCCAGTTGAGGGGATGCAAGTAATTGCACAGAAGAGGGTGAAAGCATCTAGGCCTCTAGTTGGGTTTCGGTGATTAATGACAATACGTGATTACTATGACTAACGTGTGTTTTGCAGAGGCAATTAAGTTAGGTCATGGTAATGGAGATCGATTGGGCAATCATGGTGGTCATGCCCCTACGATGGAAATCGTTTCGGTTTTCAAAGGATGGACGACAAGGTTAAGGATGGACTAGCTCTAAGTGTCGTTTGGTGTTGAAGAGACACTTAGAGTAGTTTAGGACTTTGTTTTTCCTTTGGCCGTACTATTAAGGGGGTATGGACGGGTAGCTTGACCTAGGTGAGTCTACTGGGTTAGGTGTGGTGTACATTTGCTAAAACTAGCACTAGGTAGCTTCTAAAAAGCCCTTAGATCTATTAGAGCAATCTTCATTCACATATGATTGAGAGTTGGAAGTGAATGGAGGGTCAAATACTGATCGGACGCTGGTTCCGGTGTGACCGGACGCTGGCGCAGAGTCCGGTCAGTTCATTTGATCAAGGTGAATTCGTCTGGTGCGACCGAACGCTGAGAGGTGAGCGACCGGACGCTGGGTGCCAGTGTCCGGTCGACTCCATTAAGGTTCTAGAGAGGAAAAATCACGACCGTACGCGTCCGATCAGTGCTGACCAGATGCTGTCCAGCGTCCGGTCACAACTTAATCACTGGATGTCGGGGTGAACTGACCGGAGCGTCCGGTCAACATGACCGGAGCGTCCGGTCACCTCGTAGAGGCACATAACGGTTCGTTTTTCAACCAAGGTTATAAATACTTCCTCCATTCATGTGAGGGAGTACTTTTGCTCATTCCAACAGCTGAGAAACACCTTTGAGAGTGCCAAGAAGAGCAAGGTCCTAGTGAGGTGATTGAGATTTGAGAATCCCAAAGAGAGCCCTCATCAGTGAGATCAAGAGTAGCAAAGTGTGCATCCACCCTTCTCATTAGGTTTGTCGTGGTTAAGTGAGAGTTCGTGCTTGTTACTCTTGGTGATCGCCATCACCTAGACGGCTTGGTGGTGATTGGGAGTTTGGTGATCATCCGGCGGAGCTTGTGGATGACCCAACTCAAGTTGTGAGCGGTTGTGGGTGATTCACCGCGATGGAGTGTCGAAGAATCAACTCGTAGAGAGCACTTGATCCTTGCGCGGATCAAGGGGGAGCTACACCCTTGCGCGGGTGCTCCAACGAGGACTAGTGGGGAGTGACGATTCTCCGATACCTCGGCAAATCATCGCCGCGTTCCCCCTTCTCTCTTTACTTTGAGCATTTACTTTGAGCAATTCAATTGTTGTCATTTACATTCATAGAATTGCCATGCTAGAGTAGGATTGGAACATAGGTTGCTAAACTTTTGTGCGGTAGATCAATAGAAACACTTTCTAGGCACAAGGGGTTAATTGGGCTAACCATGTGGTTTAATTATTACAAAGAAATTTAGAATTAGCTCAATTCACCTCCCTCTTAGACATCTTGATCCTTTCAATAATGAATCTTATAGGTAGCATGGGTTGCTGGACAGTATGCCCATATCAACTTTTCAGTACCGAACAATTTTTGTCAGGCTATGCACTGTATAGTCTCGGGAATGCGCGATCCAGATCTTCCTGTGAGAGTTGATTCAGTCTTTGCACTTCGTTCTTTTGTTGAAGCCTGCAAAGGTTATTATCTGGTATCTCTAGTTCTAAATTGTGGACACCAGTTCAGATAATGATTATATTTTTTTTATCTCTAGTTCTAAATTGTGAACCAGATGGACTGCTATCCTATTAGCGTAGGACTGGTATATAGACTAGTCTTCTCCTTGATGTTTTTTAAACACTCCCAGATGTATATTAAATGGTTATCGGGTAATTGCACACTTTGTCCTTTGGGCAGTTTTGTAATGTTATACATGAACGTAATGATATAGTTTTAGTTGCATGGAATACGCATTTGCTCATTCATGAGTTATTGCTCATGAATGAGTTACTGCTTGGATGGCATACTGAATGAAATATCAATTCTTATTGTATTCCATTATATAATAACGCCATGGTAGGAAAAATGAACTTGACCACAGGTTACGGGTTTTTTGCTTTATCTTAATACAGGGCAGTACCGAACGCTTTAGGGCAGTAATGATGGGTGCTACTGCAGTACTACAGTCAATTATAGCGCTGCGTTTTTTTTGGGTAAAGATCAGCTGGAATTTGTGCTAACCGGTTTAGATGAAGCTCATCACTAGCATATGCATATATGCGTTTTTTCGTTGTTGCTTACATGTAAATGAAGTATTCCTTGGTTTAAATTTGGTGTATCGATTTAATTCCTCCTTTAGCATGTACGCTGTGAATATTCACATTTGAACTTGCAGAACCTGTCTTTTGTTTCACCTTTTTGTATCCAAAGTAAAGTCACTTTTCTTCATGTTGCTGTCCTGAAATATTGGTAATTACACATGGATTTTATACCATAGTATTTATTAGAGTTTTATTTTGCAGAGAACGATAATGTTAGGAGTTCTGTTTCTGAAAGCACCGGCACTCCTTCCCCCTATGTCACAAATCAACCATATACCACCCTAGACCATTCTCAGAATGCTTACCAGGTTCCCTCTTGTACCATCATTTCATACTTAAAATTTGCCATTTGATTTACCAGTTCAATGTTTGCCAGAATAAACTAATACCCCCTAACAAATGTGCCGTTTTAGGTTTTCTTTCTGTCAAACCTTTTCTGTATAAGAGTTACATAGTAGGTTTACATTGTAATATTGATGTTGATAGGTTCATCATAAAAATAATTTCACAATATTTGAACATATTTAAAATGTCATATTCTCATAAAACTAAAGTCAAAGTGTCATCTTGTAAGGCCGTGACAATGTCTTAAACCTCAAACATTTGTGATAGTGGGAGTGGCATTTTTGCTCTATTGGTTTTGTAGTATAATGTTCTGACCACCGCTAACAGCAGGCACGTGAACAAGTAATACATATTCAGAAGCTTACCCACAACAACCTACTGGAGCCTATGGATACAACAACGCATATCAACCTCAACAACCAACCAATATGTTTGTTCCACCTAGCACACCTGCCAATTCTTAGGTATTTGTGATTCAGGAAATCCTTTTTTTAGCATCACATGTACGTGAACAACCCTATAGGCCAGTTGTGCTTGGAGAAGCTTCTCAGTGGTTTGTAGTTTTGAGTGCCCAGTTCGTTGCAGCAAGTATTTGGTACATTATGTTGGAATTTTTGAACTTATCACCTGTCTCACTTGCACGCCCTTGTGCCATTAAGACTGCAAAATAGCAAATATTTGGTTTCCCTTATTTTGTTGTTGTGTTTGAACAAAAGAAATGTAATGTTGGATATATTGTGGTATGTCTGAACATGTAGCCCCTCACCCCATGTATTTGAAATTTTTCTTGCTCAAGTGTATGCTACTTTTGAGGGTTGACCAGCAGAATTTTGCCTCATCTGAAGTTAGTGAGTGTTTTGTGTCGTTTTCCATTTAAGGCAACGCAAAATTATTACACTCATTGTTTATTTTGACATTTTTTTCTAGCAACAGCCAGGCCCTTCACCTGTACCAGTGCCTCAACACGTGTTGGTAATTTAAATTTTTTGTTGGCGAAAAATCAATTTGTAGGGGCAGTTGGTACTGTATCCGCCCCTACAAATAGGTATTATAGGGGCGGCTGGTACTATAGCCGCCCCTACAAATCGATTTTGTAGGGGCGGCTGATAACACTAGCCGCCTTTACAAATCGATTTGTAAGGACGGTCTGGGAACCGCCTCTACAAATACATGATTTGTAGGGACGGTATGGTAGGGACGACTGGCCGAACCGCCCCTACAAATACCCATTAGCCGCCCCTGGAAATCGATTCTGACGTAGTGTACCTGTCTGTGCCTGACTCCCAAAATTTAGTTTGGATCTAATCAAATCAAAGCTATGGAGTACTACAGGCGGACTACAGGTACAGCACTGTATATTGAGATGGATTAGCCAACATCAACCAGATTTGGATGACAAGAAATGATGTCATCTTCGGGAACAAGAACCCCCGGTGCAAGATTGCTAGAAATGATGTCGTCCGAGTGTGCATGGCCTGTTTCCTGACGATGCTTTCAATTCAGAGAGGGTTTTGGGCGCTTTCTGACGAGAGTTGGTAGACTAGTGCTACTGGAAGCAGGCCAGTTTCATTCGGTGGTTGCTTGCTAACTTTTTAGCTGACTGAGCCTCAACTCAAGAGTCCCAAACTGTTGGGCTACTAGCTATATACCTGGTATATACGACGCACAAAGTGAGCTTTGCTTGCACGTATACATACGTACCCGTACACATTGTCGATAAAAGATGTTCGGTCCTCCGAGGGGTATCCCACGAAGGTAGATTGATCGGTGGAGGTGCGCGTGATTAGGAACCGGATGGTGACATAAGGCGTAGAGACAGCGATTTAGACAGGTTCAGGCCGTCTGATCGACGTAATACCCTACGTCATGTGTCTTTGTGTATTGTATTGAATATGAGATGTATGTAGATGTCGACTAGGGAACCCCTGCTTCTCCTTATATACTCTAGAGGGATAGGGTTACAAGGAAAGTATACTATTTGATACTATACAATATCTTGCAGTGCGCGTCGACAAGTGCCATGCACGTCTTGATCTTGTGGGCTGGGCCACCTCTGATGGTGCGGCCCATATCTTGTCTTGTGGATACCGGGGGTCATACCCCCACAGTTAGTCCCCGAGCCTGACAGTAGGTGACGTAGTCACGTGGTGCCAGGGTCAGAAAGTAGAAGAAAGGCAGAAGACCGGCCGAGCAGGCAATCAGTCCACGACGGAGCCCTGAATTGAAAAGCGCACATTCACCAAAAGGTGAAGTGTGCCCACTTAGTCCCCGAGCCTGCTGGAAGATGAAGAATGAATCTTGTAGCAGGGTCAAAGAAAAAGAAGTCTGAAAGCTTGCCGACGTCGTCTGACATGCGCAT